ACGACCCCTTCTAAACCCAGCCTGGACTTCTGGCAGTTCTCTACTGATGTTCCCATCATTGGAGAAGAGTACAGATGCTAAAAGAATCTTGGAGGAAGTTCAACCAGGTTGCTCCTGATAGGCAAGGAGAATGAAACTCTGTCTCGCATACTTTTTACATCTTTTCAGGAGGGGCCAGTCATTGGAAAAAAGATATGCTGGGAAAAGTAGAGGGTCAGATAAAGAGACAAAGACCCTCAACAAGATGAATTGACTCGGGGACTGTAACTATGGGCTCGATGAGGATGGTGCAGGACAGGGCAAGGTTCAGATCGGTTGGTCAGAGGATAGAGGTGAATTCACTACAAAACCACCACCTGTCTTCTGGGGGTGGAGCTTGACCTCAGAGGGTATAACCAAGCCCGGCAGAGGGGGGGGCGTCACAACATGCTCGTGGGCGTGACCAAGCTCCCAGAGGATACAACATTCCTCAGGGGCGGGGCCAATAGCCACACGCAGTGGGCGTGACCAAGCTTGGCAGAGGAGGTACATTCTCCAGGGGCGGGCCTATAGTCATATGCAGGGGCGTGGCCAAGCCCCACGGAGGGGAGGGCACAACACCCCCCAGGGGCGTGACCAAGCCCCACAGAGGCGGGGCCCGTAACACACTCCGTGGGTGGAGCCTGGTTTCCCGGAGGGAAGACCTGGCTTGGCACAGTGGAGCTGCCGCAGTGCCCAGGAGCGGGGCTCGCTGGCGCAGTTCCCAGGGGCGCTCAGCCACACGCCTCATACTGTCAGCTGCAGCCCACGGGGTCCCGGGACCTGTGGCGATCTTCAGGCTCAGCTTGTTTTCTAGCAAGGGCTGAGGGCAGACCTGGGAGTTCTCAGGGTTCCCAGAGGGTGCCTCCCCGGGGCGGGGCCGGGAGCTCCCCTGACATCACCGGAGCCCCGGCGCCGGTCATTCCCACCTGGCCCGGACACTATGGCGGCAGCCAGGGAGCCAGAGTCGTCCCCGGGGTCCCCCCCGGCCGCCTGCCGCTTTTTCCTGGAGGGCCGCTGCCGCTTCGGCTCGCGCTGCCGCCAGCCGCACCCCGGGGCCCCCGCGGCCAAGGGGCCCAGCGCGAAGCCGGCCGAGGCCGGGGCCAAGAAGCCGCCGCTGCGCACGGCCGCCGCCGTCATCCAGCGCATCCGCTGGGACCCGCGCCTGGACCCCGCCGACTTCTCGGTGGGCTACACGGACCGCTTCCTGGGCGTGCGCGAGGAGCCCTTCGTCGCCTTCTGCTGGGACGCGCCGCTGGCTGCGCTCGGGCCCGGCGTCCTGGCCATCCCGCAGCACCGCGTGCGCTACTTCCGCTTCCGCGGCCGAGTCGTCTGGGACCGCGAGTCGCGCACCGACCGCGTCTTCGGCTCCGGCCAGGCCTCCGGCCGCGGGCCCACCATCCTGGAGGCGCTGGACGGGGACGAGCCTGGCGGAGATGTGCACGACGGGAACGAGCTCCCCAAGGACGCGCGTGATGGGGACGAACATGGCGGGGCCGCGCACGACGGGGACGAACTTTCCAAGGACGCGCACGATGGGGCCGAGCCTAGCGGGGACGAACTTTCCAAGGACGCACGCGACGTGGATGAGCCTCCCAGAGACGCGCAGGACCGGGACGAGCTCAGGGGCGCGCACAAGGATGAGTTTGCGAAGGACCCGCTCGACAGAGACGCGCCCGATGTGGACGCTGTCGCCCCGGGGAAGGGAATCGCTGACCCTCCGGCCGGAACCCCGGCACCGGGGAGGCGGAGCGCAGAGGAACCCGTGGCCACCCGAGCTCCGGCAGAGGCAGAGGCGGGCGGCGCCGGGTGCCAGGCCTTTGGGTGGAGGCTCCCAGGAAGGGAACCGACACTAACTGATGCGGCCAGGGCCTCAGCGCCCCAGAGCACCCCGGAGAGTGAGGTGGCGTGGGGCTCCGGGGCCTGGCGTTCCAAGTTTGAGGACCAGCGGACCAGGCCTGTGGGCCCCCGCCAGCCACGCCCCACTCACTTCGTGGCCCTCATGGTGACAGCCCCCCGGCTGCTGGCCGAGGTGGCCCGGGCGCAGGCGTACTTGGTGGCCCAGGCCCCGTCCTGTGCCCCCTTCCTGGTGCCCTCCAAGGCCCTGCACCTGACGCTGGTCCTGCTGCGCCTGGCGGGCCCCGGGGAGGAGGCTGCAGCCGCCCGCGCACTCACTCAGGCGCTTTCCCACCCAGGGCTGCGTGCACCCCGCAAGCTCACCTTCAGGGACCTTGAACTCATCAGCCACCACATCCTCTGTGCCCCGCCTTCCCCAACACTGGAGCCTATGGCCCAGGTGCTAGGCCACAGACTGGAGGCCGAGGGGCTGAGGGTGCTCCAACCCCAGGAGGGGTTGCACCCCCACCTCACCTTAGCCAAAGTGCCCCACGGCTCCCCGCTGTGCCTCCCAGAGCCAGCCTTCAGCATGAGCTCAGAGGCGGGAGACCAAGCAGTGGACAGACTGTGGCTGTGCCGCATGAAGAGGGTGGGGGACACCTACCAGGCCCTGGCTGAGGTCCCGCTGAGGTCACAGACCAACCCGGGGGCCCCAGACTGGCCGGCAGCCCCTCCTGAACCCCAAGCCCCCAACGAGAGCAGTACAAGCAGCAAGCTCACTCTCTCTCCTTTTTAATTTTGGTTTCTCTCAAGCTTCCAAATGGTGCTCAGTGCGCCAAGAAAAGAATGAAGAAGGAAAGGGGAGGGGGAGGCAGGGAGGGAAGGCAGAAGAGAACGTGTGGAAGGAGGCAGCCTGACAGTCCAGCTGTTCACAACTCCCTGCACATCATCAGCTACATGGCGAGGAGGGCGGGCGAAAGAAAAGGGGAGAAAAGAACTTAAATAAACACACACAGAAAGAAAAAGGAAGATGGCGTGAGCTGGTGATCCATGGAGGTGGGAGGGAGGGGAACCGCTTTACCTGTGCTGAACCACGGGGGGAGGGGAGAGGAGGAGGAGGAGGGAGGAGGGAACCAGGAGAACATTGGGGCAGAGGGAGGGGGTCACGCAGACAACTTAATACAACTTGAGATGAGGCAGGCCCGGCCGGCGAGGTCCCGCGGTGGCCTCCGGAGTCCTCAGTGCAGCGTGGCGGCGTGGTCGGCTGGTGGCGGAGGCGGTGGCAGTGGCGTTTCGGGGTGGGGGGCCAAGGACACAGTTTCTACACGGCTCCCCTCACCCCATATACTGAGGCCCCCGAAGGGCTGAGCGACAAGAGTCTATGATGAGGCAGATGCGGAGGCGGCGGGCAGGTGTGTGGCGCCTACCACGCGGGCGCTCGGCTGGCTGGACGGCCTGTCTTCCTTCCGCTGGCCCTCCTGGCATGGGACTGGCCAGGGCGAGCACCGGAGGATGAGCTCGAGAGAGAGAGAGAGAAAACACTGAGACAGCATTAGTGGAGGTGAAAGGCAGACACGGATGAACCCCGCAGACTGCGCCCCCCAGTCCCTGCCATCCCCCCTTCCCCCTGCCATTTCTCTGAGACAAAAATAAAAACGTAGAAAAATCTCTGTACAAACTCCCCGGTGGGCAAACGGGGGCAGGGGCGCAGCTCAGCCTGGAGCCCGCTCCCCACCAATTAATTTACAGCCCAAGTCCATGCTGGAAGGCTCCCCAGTGGGCAGAGCAGTGTGGCCACGGCCCGGCCCCCCATGCTGTGTGCTCAGAAGGCTGGCAGCTGCACCAGGCTCAGGCCCCCAGGCCCCCTCCCTGGTGTGCTCAGAAGGCTGGCAGCTGCGCCAGGCTCAGTCGGCAGTCGATGCTGGTGGCGTCCGGGCCCGAGTAGGCCAGGGCCAAGGGCTCAAGGAAGGCTCGGCAGGCGGCCTCGCCTTCGAAGGCCAGCTCGGCCTGCAGGTAGGAGACGGGCAGCACAGGGCGGAAGCTACGGAGACAAGAGGAGAGAGTGATGAGGCGGGCAGCGGGCAGGGGAGGGCCCATGGCAGGGAGTGGGCGCTCCCCAGCCACATACCCCAAGAACCTTGGCATGGTACTTACAAACACACCTCACCCCCTGCCAGCCTCCCACCTCAGGGACTTGGGGGGGCCTGGGGTGGGGATGGAGCCCCAACACCCAGTTGTGTCCCCCCTCGTCCCCACTTACCTGTGCAGGGGAACTGGGAAAGAGGGGACAGGAGAGGGTAGGTCACTCAGGCTAAGGGGCAGGGCCAGGCAAAGGGATGTGGCCATCAGGTGGGGGACAGGGAGGACAGGCTCCCTGAGGTGGGGCCTGCTTTGGTCAGACCCAGGCCAGGTCAGACCCCAGACCAGGGCGGAGGGCACCTTACTGCCAGCTGCAATGACTACGCACTGAGCCAATCAGAAACACTATTTTAGGGGCTCTATCTTGGGCATGCTACCCCCACCACTTGAATTCAGGGCACCTGGAGGTGGGGGGGGGGCGGCAAAGACAGATTTGCACCTCCTTAAAGGCATGCTATCAAGGGCACCTGGGGACAGGGACCACAGTCAGGCCTACATCTCTTTATGGGCACACCACCCAGACCACCTAGATTCAGGGCACCTGGGGGTAGGGGGCTGCAGATTGGCCTGTACCTCCTTACAAGCATGTTAGCCCTACCACCTGAATTCGGGGCATCTGGGGTTGGGGGGGGCCACAGTCAGGCCTGCATTTCCTTACAGGCATGCTAGCCCGACCACTCGGGACACCTGGAGGTGGGAGGGGTTAGGGTTACCTCCATGTCACACAAGGACAGCAAGGGCAGGCCCACCCGCTAGGATACCCACTGTTCTACCCAGGGACCCTCACACACATGGCCATGGACCAGAAACAGTATTTCCTGAGCTGTACACCCAGCAGCTGCTGGAGACACGGCCACTAGGCCTCAGAGGGTGGACAGGCCAGGGACACTGAACAGGCAAGGTCACCCCCAGAACACATGTGTAGGCCAGGGCTGCCTGGCAGACTCCCTTCATCTCCCATCCCAGGGCCAAGGCCTCAGGCCACATCTGGCCCACTGCACCTCCCATCTGTGACAGTGCCCTCCTCACTCCCAGCTCCAGTCTTTCTTCCTGGCACCACCTCGCCCTGACCCTACACTGGACTCCAGGAGGAGTGTCTAGCCTATCCCCAGCTTAACAAGCTGCCGAGGCTTGTTGGGAACCTTCCTGGAAAAGCCAAGCTGGCTGGTCTGACACTCACAGCTCCTGGGACCTGCAGACACGCCAACTGGGGTGTCTAAGCCCAATGGGACCTACGTTAGAGGGCAGACAATCCTCTGGGGGCTGTGAGGAAGAGTTAATGCCCAACTGTGGGGGTGGGGAGGGACCAAGAAGCGGTGCTAGCCGCCAGGACCGCTGCAGACACAGCTCAGTGTTTTGGGAAGAGGGGTCACCGCAACGCTGGCCAGACAAGCTGTTCATGACCAGTCCACACCTGTGTCCTGACACTCTTGTCTGACACCCCTGGCCACACTGGCCTGCCCTACAGATCACCCCGACACACTCTCCCCACACCCATGCCCCGGCTGCCAAGTCAAAAGGACTGGCAGAAGAAGAGGGACTCTGTCCCATCAGACCACAGCTGTGGAGAGCAGGGAGCCCTTTTCCAAGTCTGTCTCTATGGCCCAGGGGGTGGGTCACCAGAGAAAGAGAAAGAAGATGGGGCCAACAGGGAGCCTCAGGCCCATAGGGAGGTGACAAAAGAGGTTGAGGTGCCGGGGACAGGATGACAGGAGCACAGATGAGGGCAGAGGAGAGGGCCAGCACATGTGAGGAGAGGAGTGTGTACACACACACACACACACACTCTCTCTGACAGGTGCAAAGGGAGAGACTGGGTCCAGCAGCCATGACAAGACAGCCGAAGGGGAAGGGACACACAGACAGAACCAGAAAGGGGAGAACAGAACACACGGGTCCAAGCTGCTGGAGCAGGAGGGACTGGATGACGGGAGGGCTCCAGACCCATGAGGGCAGCAGGAGGGCAGGGGGATGGATGGGGAACAGACAACGGAGAAGAAAAAGAACAGGGTGCAGCACTCGTGAGAGGAGAGCAGAAAGGTGGGACCGACACAGAAGAGGGAGCAGAGCAGTGAGCACGACGGCAGAAAGGACGGGCAAGTGTCGGGGCTGAGAGGAGAGCGAAAGCCTGGCGGCCAGGCCGGCGGGGGCGGGGAGAGCGCCCAGCGTCACATACGTTTTGATCATCGCCTTGAGGGCTGCCTTGCGCTCCCGGTCTACAAACTTGTCCACCAGGTAACCAGACATACAGGGTGCGTGGCAGTAGAGCTGGAAGAAGCGGTGGTAGTTGTTCAGTGCCCAGGCCGTCCTCAGCGCCAGGGCGTGGGCCACACAAGGGTCCGCCTTCAGCTCCGGCGTCAGATAGGCCAGCTCGGTGGTGATGTCTGCAGGGCGGGAGGGAGAGGTGAGAAGGGCGAGCCTGGGTCCACCGGTCGCCCAGCCTGGCCCAGCGCGGCCTGCCTCACCTCCCGAGTTGTTGGTGAAGATGTAGTAGAGGATGCGGTAAGCGGTGAACTCGCCCACGTTGCCTGGCAAATTCTCTGCATACAGTGACTTGAGCTGCGTCTGGCATTGGTTGAACTCTTCGTGGTCCCCCTGGAAGGAGGCAGGTAGGACAGCAGAGTGAGAACAGGAAGGGGGGACAGGACAGAGGTGGGGAGCTAAGAGGAGACAGGAAACAAGGGGACAGGAGGGGGGCAGCAGAGTGAGAGCAGGAGGACAGCAATCAGAACAGCAGAGAACGAGGAACAGGAGAGAGGCTGGCTGGGAGAGTGGAGCCAGGAAAGGGAGACCGTGAAGGTGGGACTGGAGAAGGGAGGACAGCAGAGTGGGGACAGAGCTGAGCAGGGGCCCTGGGTTCCCGCCAACCTGCTCACCTTCTCCAAGGCGATTCGGGCATGGGTCTCATACACCTCCACCGTGAGCTCTGTGCGGATGCCCTGGACCTGGGGAGGACAGAGGTGGTCAGGCCAGGCCCCATGGAGGGATGTGTCCCCAGATTGGGTCACATGCCCATCCCCCAAACCGGCCTCACCGTCAGATCTTGCCGGATGGACTTCATCTGCTCACAGGCAAACGCGTAGTCCTGGTTCTCCTTCCAGTGAGACTTGACCATGGCCAGAGACTTCTTCAATACCTGCCGGAAAGGGAGCACAGCTCACACAAGGGTCCCACACGCCCCTGACCTGCAGCCTCGGCCAGCTATGAAAACCATAGGCTCTGGGAAACTCAGCAAGCACCAATTGTCTGGGTGCGTGCCCCGTGGGGGACAGCGAGGCCCCGGGCTCTGTGCTGTACCCACCCGCAACCAGGCCGTGACTGTCCCCAGCAGGAAGCCCAACCCAGATACTCACGGCCGCGGGGCGCACTGTGGAGGGGTCGGGGGCACAGGTGAGGCGCAGGTAGTGCTTGGTGATGTCAGGGCAGGTGCCCACGATCTGCAGCTCCTGCCAGTCAGGGTCGGCCCTGAGGCCCTCCAGGCTGCCCATCTGCAGCACCAGAGGCTCCAGGCGCAGGCGGCGAGCGTGGCCGTGCTGGAAGCGGGCAGCCCGCTTCTGCTTCTTCAATTCCCGCTCTGCGTCCTCGCACTCCAGGCCCGCCATCTTCTTCCGGCTGCGCTTTGTGGGGGCGAGGTCATGCCTGAAAGGGGCGGGGGAGCCCTCAGAAGTCGGCCCCTCCACAGGGACACAGCTCGCTCCTCCCCTGCAGGCTCTGGGGCCCCAGCCCTCACCCCCCCAGGCTCACCTTTTCCCACGCTGCGCCCTGCCGCGGCCCCGGTCCATGTGGGCACCCCGGCCCCCGCGGCCCTTGGCAGGTGGGTTCCGGCGGCCCCCGGGGTGACCCTCATTGCCTGAGTAGGAGCTGTCGGAGTCCGAGTGGGAGTCGCTGCAGAAGAGCCAGCAGTCAGGCCTGGGCCGGACGCCGTTCCCACCTCCTCCCCGGCCTGGCCCCGGCCCCATGGTACCTCCTGCGGAAGTGGCGGGTGGGGGACCGTGAGGACGACCGGGAACGGGAGTCGGTGCTGGAGGGTGAGCTGTTGTCCTTCATGAAGACGTTGCGGTTGCCGAACTTGGCAAAGCTGCCCCGGGCTCGGCTGGCACCCCCAGCCCCCGGGGTCCCTCGCTGGGACTGGGCACCCCCGCCCCTGGCCACGGAGCCCGTCCCCCGGGGAGGGTGAAGGCCACTGGGGGCTTCCCACCGTTTCTTCTTGGGGCTCTCTGCCACAGGTTCCCGGGTAAGCCTGAAGAGACAGCCAAGCATCGTCACCACCCTGACCCACGAGGGCAGGCCCGGCGAGGAAAGCGGGCAGGGAGCTGTGAGCCCTTGGTGACAGCCCCACAACCTGCCCTCCCAGGACACCGCCGGGCTGGCCTGCTGCTTCTCAGATACAGGCAGAGCCCCTGGGCCCCCAGCACAGGATACAGTCCCCAGCACCAACAATGGGTTCCCTGGCAACCCAGGATGGACTCCCCAGTGCCCCAGGATGGGGTTCCCGGCACCCCATGGTGAGGCCCCCCAGCGCCCCACAAGGAATCTTCCAAGTGCCCCAGGACAGGCCCCCCAGAGCCCCAAGACAGGTCCCCCAGCACTCTACAGGGAATCTTCCAGTGCCCCACGATGAGTCCCCCTGCACCCAGGACGGAACCCCTGGCCCCACGCCCCCGGCACCCCCGGGCAGCGGCTCACCCGGGCAGCGGCTCGCGGCTCCAGTCGATGACATAGGCCGAGCCGTCCTGGAGCCGGGCTTGCAACACTTCCTTGAGCAGCTTCTCTGTGCGGTCCTTGTCCTCCTCTGACTCGCAGGCAGTGAAGCAGCGCTCCACGTACTCCTTCATGTCCTGTGGCCAGTTGTCCGGCTTCTCGGACAGGTTCCCCCGGGACGAGGGGACACTGTGGGGAGACATGGCGGGGTCTGAGCCAGGGTACCTTTTGCTCCCAGCCAGTGAGGCCACTATGGCATACGGGGTAGAGCGGCTCCCTCTCCCACCCACTGGCGCCGGTGCCCCACTCCTCGGGGCACACAACCGTGGAGAAGGGAGGGCAGAGCGGCAGGACCGGCTGGGAAGTCACCTGTGGTTCGGGGCCTTCTCTGCGCTGGGCTGGGAGCTGAAGCTGCTGTGCGGGCCCTCGGAGGTGGAGCTGAAGTTCTGGCTGGTAACAGCAAAGGGCCGTTTCTGAATGTTGAACTTGAGACCGCCGGTTCCAGGAGCAGCTGAGAGAGTAACATGAGGGGGTCAGGACTCCCCTGCTCCCAGAGAGCACCAGAGGGGCTCCGGGTGGGAGAGGCCCAGCTCCAGAAACAGCCCAGCTGTAGGAGTCCCCAGTTCCACAGTAGCCTCCACCGAAGCAAACGACAGGCACAAGACAAGAGCCACTACTAGGGTCCCCAGCCCAGGCACTGAGGGCTCCACCCAGCACCCCCAGTCCACACGGTCCAGGCCAGGGCGTTCTGAGGGCTCCACCCAACACCCGTGGGTCCACAGTGCCGAGGCCTGGGAATTCTGAGCTCCCACCTTGGACCACCTTCAGGGTCCACACTGCTAAAGCCTCAGTTCTGAGTCCCACTCAGGCCACTGTGAGGGAAACCTGTGAGTCCAGAACCTTCCCCTCACTGCCTACCAGAACCCATTCAGGAGCGGCCAGTGCCCTGCCTACAAGCCGTGAGGCCCCGTCCCTACTTACGCTTCATCCGGCTCCACAGCTGCTGACCCTTCTTGGGCTTGGCAGGCTCTGGGTAGCTGTGTTGCCCATAGGCCTGGCTTGAGGGTGCCCCTGCCTGGCTGTGCTGTGTGGCTGGCACTGTGCCTGGCTGGGGGCCGCTGCTCAGAGCATGGGCACTGTGCTGGGGCGTCGAAGGCTGAGGGGGCTGGGCTGGGAGCTGCTGTGGGGGTGCCTGGTAAGACATGCTCTCATCCATGCCAGGAACTGGGGGCTGCAAGAGAAAACCAGTGCTGAGGGTGATGCCAGCAAGCTACACACTGGTTCTTAACCTCATCTGTACCCCTACCCCCTTACACCATTCCCCACTCCCTGCACCCCAAGCTTTTTGTCTCAGGGCACCCAGAAGGAGCTTGAGAGAAGTCCTCTATTAACAAGCCCTTCTTCACAGGTGGGGCAGCTCCCAGAAGCATCAAGCAATGTGCCCTGAGCACAGCAGCTACGGCCGATACCAATGGGACATGGGGTCTGGGTCTGATCAGTCCAGCGTGAGTGCCCACCAATAGGGTGGGAGCCCAGAGTACAGGATGGCTGAGCAATCCAGTATCCCAGATGGACCCAACGCACTGAAACAAAATTACTAGCACTTCTGCTTAGTGCCCAGACTCAGGAATAGCCTGCAACAAAGTAATTCCCGCTTCAGCTTTAGAGCTCAGATAGACTCAGGAATCACCTGAGACAAAGTTACTACAGCTTCAGCTGTACAGTGGAAACAAGAACAAAACAGCAGGGTTTGTGTGACTTCTGTGGGGCAAGCAGCACACCCAGTGCCTCAACCCTGGTCTCTCCTGTCAATTGTATTCTTTAAACAAGGGCACAACACAAGCAAAGTAAGAGACAAGGACTGAGAAAGGGAGAGTAGCAGTGAGCGCAGGACAAGGGTGCACCCCTCCACCCGCACTGGTTTCCCAAGCCTCGCCTGGTGACCCTCACTGCTGAGCTGGGATTTGGCAGGAGGGGATCAAAGCTACTTAGAAGGCACAGGCCAGCCCCGGCCAGCCCCGACTGCAGGCTCACGGCCCAGGCTGCACGCAGGTTACCTGGTTCAGGGTTCCCTGGTGCTGCGCTGCGGCAGGCTGCTGTGGCGTGGCGGAGCCGTAGGAGCTGGCCATCCCGTACTGGGAGGGGGAACTGTACCCCTGGTACATGCTCTGCCAAGGACAGGACAGGAGTTAGGCTGCAGGCCCGCCTCCAGCCTGCCGCCGAGCTCTGCCCGCCTCTCCTATCTGCAGAACCACCCACAGGCCCCTGGTCTCCCCCTCCACCCGATAAACGCTAGGTTCTCCCACGAGCTTTAACAGAGAGCGAAAATACAGGACAACTCCCTATCCTGCTCACGCTACTTCTCAGAAACACTTCTTTCTCTGACAACATTTACTTGACTCTTAACACAGAACAAAGAACAGAGAGGAAACTCCCTCCTCTGCAAGAAGCACAGCCCTCTGTACTAAGAAATGAGTAAACTGATACGGTGCCACTGTTGTAGAATGAGGCTAACATCAGGGTGGGGGTAAGACTGAGAAAAACTGGATAAATGATGTTTACTACACTGAAGTCTATGAGGAAGAGACTAGTTTAAAAGTATTATATTTTAGGGCATTATGTTTATCATTAGAGTACGGAATAAGAGTTGCAGAGTGCATTATATTTGGGGTGGGGTTGGGGGTGTCCGGGGGGCGGGGGAGACTGTGTTCATTGAAATAAAAAAAATAAAAAAAAAATTGAGTAAACTGGGGAAACCAGTCAAGGTGTGGGGACCAGCCAGGATAGGAGAGCTTGTCCCAGCAGGGGCCCCGGGACACAGCGCTCATCAGAGGCTTTCCCGAGGCAGCGTGTGTCTGTGCGTGTGGACAGAAGTGCTGTGGAAGGGCCTAACACGCACTGACATCAGAAGCACCAAAGAGCAAAGAAGGCAGGAGCCACAGGAGGGCGCAGCGCTGTCCACACCCCGGGGCAGACAGCCCAAGGCGCACTCCCCATGGGGTGGTGGCATCTGTAGGGGAGGTGCAGGGCCAAGGCGCACTCACCATGGGGTAGTAGTAGCTGTAGGGGTAGGCGTAGTTGTACTGCTGGTACCACTGGTAGTACTGCTGCTGCTGTAATGCAGACGCTTCTGCCTGCGACACGTACTGTGGAGAGGGGGCCCATGACCATCAGGGTTGGCAGGAGTGAACCCCAGAACCCCACAGCTCCCAAAGGGCAGGCCTGTAGGCTGGTGGGAAATTACCCAAGTGGAAGGCTTCCCCAAATCTGGGTCCCCATCAGGCTGGATGTCCAGATAATGACTTGGGAGTCCTCAGACCTTGGTCCCTCACCAGGCACCTCCCAGGGCTTCCCTCAGAGGCCCCACCCTGCTCGGGAAAGCCCTGCCGGGCCGCCTCACCTGTGCGTTGGCCACAGGCCCACTGCTGCTGGCCTTGGAGGAGCTCCCGGCGGCGCCCGCTTTGCTGATGCTGGCCAGGGCCTGGCGGGCCTTCTCCCACTCGGGGTTCTCATGCATGGGCGCTTCCATGCCATTCTCTCTGCCCGCCCCAGCCACCATGCTGTACTGAGAGGACCTGCAAAGAGGGGACACACCGAGTCACACAGGCAGGCCTGGTCGCAGAGGGTTAAATGCCGAGCACCATCCCAGATCCCCCCACTTGCTGTTGCTGCACCCAGGTCCCCTGCTCTGTAACGTACTGACCACCAGCTCACTGGAGGTCAAAGGCAGTCACTCATGCGAGACAGGTGGCCAGTGCCTGGAGCGTGGAAGGGGTTAAAACCAAGCCAAAGAAGCCCACAGCACCTCATCAACCCTAACTCCCAGTGACTGTGGGCAGAGGGGAGCCGGCCACAGGGCCTCGGACGCCATAAATGTCTAGAGCAGGCCACGGATCCTCCCGCACAGCGGCTGCTGAGTTTGAACCAGTTAGCAGCGGAGAGCCCTCAATGACTGAGCCCTCAGAGTGCGGGACCAAAAAAGGATGTCCCACAGGTCAAGGACCTACAGAAGACCTGGATTAAAGCAAACCGGAAAACAACTGTCCAGTTCACTTCAGCCCATGGCAGCCCCAGGTGTCGGGGTGCCCTGTGCACTGTCAAGGGCTGATTCTCTAGTTAGGTCAAAAGGCGCTCGATTGGTTTCGGCTAGTGTGGAGATGAATCCTATTATAGCTAATGGTCATATGGGAAGTAAAAGTCAAATGTGTTCCTGGGCTGTAATTGGTGTTGACAGGGTGAAAGAGCCACTGATAATAATGATTGGCAGCAGAATTACAGCTAATGATACTTCGCAGGAGATGGTTTGGGCAACTGCTCGAAGTGCTCCGATTAGTGCATATTTTGAATTTGAGGCTCAGCCTGATCATGGAACAGAACAGACAGCTAGGCTTGATACAGCTAGTATGAATAATATGCCTAGGTTTATATTTATTAAGGATGTAGGTATCGGGATGGGGGTTCATAAAATTAGTGCGATAGTTAGTGCTAGGATTGGGGCAATAATAACTAAGGATACGGAGGATGTTGTTGGGTATAGTGGTTCTTTAACAAATAGTTTAACTGCGTCGGCGATAGGTTGGAGAAGCCCATATGGACCAATAATGTTAGGGCCTTTACGTAGTTGTATGTAGCCTAAAATCTTACGTTCGACTAAGGTTAGGAAGGCTACGGCTAGGAGAATAGGGATAATGAGGGTAATAAGATTAATGATATACACTGTTAAGAAGAGGAATTGAACCTCTGAGTATAAAGGCTTAAATTTTATGCAATCACCGGACTCTGCCATCTTAACATACCCTGGTTTTGGGTAAATTTATGGGTGTTGTTTTCTAGATTAAGATAGTTATCATTAATAATAATTAGAGCGCTTATGAGAAGTAGGCTCCATTTCTCTTGTCCTTTCGTACTGGGAGAAATTAGTTATAGATAGAAACCGACCTGGATTACTCCGGTCTGAACTCAGATCACGTAGGACTTTAATCGTTGAACAAACGAACCTTTAATAGCTGCTGCACCATTGGGGTATCCTGATGCAACATCAAGGTCGTAAACCCTATTGTCGATACGGACTCTAGAATAGGATTGCGCTGTTATCCCTAGGGTAACTTGTTCCGTTGATCAATTAATTGGGTCAATCAGATAAGTAAACTTAGATTGGTGATATCATAGTAGAATATCGTTCGGAGGATTTTTTATGCTCCGAGGTCACCCCAACCGAAATTTCTTACACAGAAGTCTTAGGGTATGCCAGTTGGATGAGGAGACTTGTGGGTAAGTAAATTAAAGCTACATAGGGTCTTCTTGTCTTATAAGAATATTCCTGCCTCTTCACAGGAAGGTCAATTCCACTGATTGGAGAAAGGAGACAGTTAAACTCTCGTCTTGCCATTCATACTAGTCCCCAATTAAAGAACAAATGATTATGCTACCTTTGCACAGTCAGAGTACCGAGGCCGTTTAACTAATATCTAATATCACTGGGCAGGCAGTGCCTCTAATACTAGTAATGCTAGAGGTGATGTTTTTGGTAAACAGGCGGAGTTCGTGTTTGCCGAGTTCCTTCTTTCTCTTTTAATCTTTCCGAGTTGCACTCCTGTGTTGGGTTAACGATGTCATGAATAATGGGTTTATGGGGGGATTAAGGTTATAATATCGTTAACTATCAGTGGGCATCCGTTCTGATATAAGCTTGTGCACGGAGAAATGTTTCTTGCTACTCATGCTAACATTATCTCTTCTATTAGTTAATAGAATAACCCAATATTAAATTAGGGAGTTAGGTTTATATTGTTGGGATTATTATAGTTTAAAAGTTTGAGCTTTAACGCTTTCTTAATTGGTGGCTGCTTTTAGGCCAACTATGTTTGTATAATGTTCTTACTCTCCTTTTTAGGTTGTATCCAGATTCAATAGAGCTGTACCTTTATTGAATTACTCCAAAGTTTACAGAATAATTAGGTGTTTTTAGGGTATACTTTGGGTTGAACTAAAATTCTTTTCTTGGGTAACCAGCTATCACCAGGCTCGGTTGGCTTTTCACCGCTACTTATAGATCATCTCACTATTTTGCCACATAGACGAGTTCATTCTGACAATTGTCCATAAGTAGCTCGTCTGGTTTCGGGGGTTTTGGCTTCAGATCTCTTTGTCAAATGTGTTCTAGTTAGTTCACCAATACCAGGTACCTCAGGGGTCCAAGGAGCACTGGGGGGTGGACCGCTCTGGGAACGTGGTGCTGCTGACCTGGGTGGTGCTCCTCTGGGGAGTCCCCAGCGGCTACTTGGGAGAGAGGTGGGCACTCTCCCTGTGATTCACAGCCTGTGAGAACCCACTGGAAGGCCCGCATGCTGAGGCCACACACCTCGCGAGCGCACACGTGCCCGCCCCACACTCCAAAGTGCTGCCCTTGTCCTTCTGGCCAGGGGAGGGACTCTCCCACTAAAGCCAGTACAAGTCCTGTCTGGTTCCCTCCCGCCGGCTGCACTAACCAGTCTGTGCTGCGCTGGTCACCCACGTTGGCCGCCATCTGGACCTTGTGGTACGACGAATGGACCTCGGGAGCCAGAGTGCTTGCTGACTGTGGGACAAAGAGGGAGTGAGGATGCGTGAGAGGCACCAGGAGCACGAGTGGAGTGGGGACAGGAAGCAAACTCCTAAAGCTGGCCAGCCAGGCAGCCAGGCTGAGAGAGGAGCAGCCCCTGAGGGAAACAGACCAGTGAAAGGAATTCTGTGAGAGGCATAAAAGGGCTGGAGTAGGAAGGGAGGCCCTCAGGCAGCCTGTAGGGCTCCAGAGAAAAATGGAAGGACCTGCAGCCAGGATGAAGAAAGCTAAAGCTGTGAGGGGAAACCCCAAGGTGGGACCGGAGGGGTGGACACGATGGGGGATAGAGGAGGAGAGGATGTGGGAGACTCCAATCAAGGGATTAAAAATTCCCAGACCCAGTAGCATCAAGTCACCATGACTGACAATAACTACCAGACAGACAGGAATTGTCATGTGGGGCTTCGGAGGTAGAAAGTGTCACAGGAGTCCTGGTAGCACAACAGATTAAGCTCTGGGCTGCTAACCAACAGCTGGCAGTTCAAATCCACCAGACACTCCGTGGGAGAAAGAGGAGGCAGCCTGCCTCCAGGATGGTTTCTACAGCCCTGCAAATCCAAGGGGCAGAGCCACACTGTCCTACAAGGTCACGATGAACCCAAATCCGCACGAGGCAGCAGAATGCCACGCCTCTCCACGACAGGGGCTGGGGGCCGGAACCACTCATTTAACCAGTGTTCCACCGGGTCTCTTCAGTCGAGGGAAAAAGCCTACAATTCCAGAGTGAGGCAAGCTGAGAGTAAGCAGACACTACAGGACTGACGAGCAATCCGGACAAACGTCCACGGCTGGGAGGCTGATGCGGAACCCCATCCCTCAGGAAGCCTGGAAGGGGACCCGAGGAACACTCAGGTGTGGGGAAAACCAGACCGGGAAAGAGGACTTCTGAACATTAAACCTGGAAACAGAGAAGTAAGGGGGCCTGAAGGGAACCAGCACATAAAGAACCAAGTTCTCAGAAAGCCCTTAGAGGTTACTTCTAAACGACTCCCTGACTGCAGAGGCATGATGGCCCAAGAACAAAGCACAACCACTTTTTAGGGGACGGTGTCTCTGGGGATAAAGCTGTGGTGGTGTTTAAGGTCGATTGATACAAGGGAGCTCTGCTGGCCTAGTAGCAAGAAGCTGCGCTGCAATTCCAGAGGTCCACAGTTCAAATCCACCAGATGCTCTAGACAATCTCCTCCTGTACCAATCAGATCTGATTTGATGGTACAAACAAAAAAATAATAAAATGTTTAACACGTTGCTGCAAATGACAGTAACACATCAAAAAAATGTGTTTCTAAGCACGGACATCAATTTAAAAGTCTGCTGCAGTGTCAAAAAAAAAAAAAAGGTAGATACAGTGAATATAAACACATTCGGTAACAGAGTTGGGTTTTTTTGAACACCAAAAAGGTACCCTTGGGTGGAAGCCTCAGTGCTATCATGGTTAAAGCTTTCAGTTTCCATCTGAAGGGTTGGTGGTTCAAACTCACTGCTCATCCTGCAAGGAGGAAAACATGGCCACCTGTCTCCATAAAGACCGCAGCCTAGAAAACCCCAAGAGAGCGTTTCACTGTATCTTTTTACTTAAAGTCACAGCAAATGACAACTGAGTTGATGGCAATGCCAGGCACAAGGGATGAAAAAGTAATACTAGGGAGCTCCACTGCCAAACTAAAGGCAGGTGGTTCAAATCCACCAGGTGCTGCTCCGGAGAAAAATGGGCAATTCACCACCTCTGGACACCTGCTAGAGGGGGCCAGCTGAGTTGGTTTCTGACTCTCTGTCTCTCTCGCTGAGTTGGTTTCTGACTCTCTGTCTCTCTCGCTCTCTGTCTGTTTCTGAATCTCAACTTAAGTGCTGACAGTCGGAAGTCACCCAGGTGGACAGGCAGGGACAGGATCGCCCTCCCAGTAGGGCAGTTCCAGCCACACGCAAGACTCCAAGAAGCAGAAGCGTCTCCATAGCAACCAACAATAGGGGCCCATAGTGGGAGGGACCTCACTCATGGGGAACTAGGTAGCGAGGATCTCAACGGAGAACCCCCTGCAGAACCCCAAAACCCTGCTGCTGCTGCCACTGCCCCCCCCAGCTGATCACGGTTGACAGCGACCCTGCAGGGAATGGAGGATTCCCACGGGGATCCCCACAGTGGTGACGTCGCCTAGCAGATTTCCTCCTCTTCCCCCGCAGAGGCCAACCGCCCCATCTGTCTGTTTGCTAACCGATCGCGTACCCCACCGCGCCACCTGGGGCTCCTGAAAACCCCCAAAGCCCTACAAAAAAAGAGGGGGGACAGGGAAAAAGCAGAGACGCGTGGGGCCCGAGCGTGGAGAGAATGGGGGGGGTGAAGCAAGCACCTGGCCGTCCCGGGGGAAGGCGAACGAGGCCACCCGGGGGGCCCCCGCCGAGCCTGCGCACCACGTCCCCGGGGAAAGCAGCCGGACTGGCCGGCCGCCCGTCGCTCGGGGCGACCTCGCTGCCCGAATGGAATCTCCCGATCAAAAGAAAAGCGAGGGAATTCCGGGAGAGGAACATTCCAAAGCGGGGCCCTCCCCACCCCCAACCAAAGCTGGCGCGCATGCGCGCTGGCGCACTTCCCGCGAGACCCCGCAGGCGCATGCGCAGTGGCCGGCCCGTCCCCACCACACCCCAGCGACGCCCGCAAGGGGCGTCCGTTGGTTAAGACTACCGGGAAAGCCGTGGGGCGTAAATTCCCAAAGAAATGCCCGCCCTGGCCGTCTCCCCGCCGCGCTGCTTACTAGCGTCTCCGTTTTCGTCTTCGGAGTTCGCCAGCCGGGGCCCGAAGCGGCGTCAACAGGGAGCGGAACTGCGCCGCGGATCTTGCTAGCTCCCGTCTTCCTAATGCCTTCGACGTCTCGACCGCGGGGTTCTGACGTCGTGCGGAGCCCTCGCCCCGCCTTCGTCATCGGCTCAACCAATAGGAGTCGCGAGTGTAAGTGAGCCCGCCCTTCCGCCCCCGCTGACGCAGACACAGCCTTGGACTTTTTTTTTTCCGACAAACAGGAAGAGATGGCGGGGACGGTGGCTTCGGAGGGTCACGCCACGCTCTGCTTCTGGCTTTTCGCTTTTTCCGTGCAGCTTGATCTGGTTCAGAACGCTCGTAGCCATTTTTATTCCTGGCTGTCAAATGTCACAAGTGTCACAAGTGGAAAACTATGCACAATGCAGTAATATGAAAGCCCAAGGGCTTGATTGAGTTAAAGGGGTTCAAATCCGCCTCCGCCCGGAAGACCCCAAAAAAGCGCATCACCGTGGAGTCCCTTCCAACCCAGCACCTCTATAGGACAATCCACAAAATTTCCTTAACGACCCTATAGGACCGAGTAGGGCTGTCCCGCGGAGTTTCCAAAGCTGGAGTAGGATTATTTTCATTTTTCTTTCAAGCTGCAGTCTTTGCGGAAGACTGCTAGCATCTGCCTCCTGCAAGCAGCTAGTGGGCTCGAACCATTGAACTTTTGATTAGCAGCTAAAGGCCTTTAACCTCTGCACCACCAGGAACAGCCACTAAAACTGGGAGGGCGGTGTTGCATCTAGTGGGGGAAGGGGAGATTCGATCGAGAAAAATGGACAGGAGCATTGGCTTTGACGTGGGAGGAGAGGCAGCCAGAAGTCAGCAGTTCGAATCCAGAAGCTGCTACGAAGCAGAAAGACTGACCAGTTGCCACCGCCTGTGAAGGTTTAGAGACTCAGGGACCTGACAGAGGGTCGCCCTTAGTTGGAATCGACTCTCTGGCGGTGGGTTTGGCCCTGGTGTTGTTAATTTGCTCAGATTCACAATCGACACTCTTTATTAACACCAGCAGTCAAAAAATCACAGGACGAATTGCATTGGGGAAAAAAATCTACTGTCATGGACCTGAAGAGCAACGATGTCAGTCTAGAGACAAAGGTGCGCCTAATCCAGGCCATGTTGTTGTTGTCTTTGCCTTCGAGTTGAGCATGACTCATAGCGACCCTATGAACAAAAGACCTGAAGCCCCTCTACAAATACCGCCATTTATCAAAGTTCCTAGAGGTTACGGAGACATGTTATTTAGGACGTGGATGCCACTCCTGCTTCCAACTGGTCTTCTCAATTACTTGTTATGCTTCAGAGAGTTGGACAGTGACTAAGGATGACAGAAGAAGAATAGATGCCTTCGAGTGGTGGTGCTGGAGAAGGTCTTGAACTACCAGGGACTGCCAAGAAAACAAACAGGTCTGGCTTGGAGAGGGAGAAACAAACAAAGTCTCTCCTCGGAGGCTAGGATTCTGAAGCTTCACCTCACTTACTTTGGGCATGTGGCCAGGAGAGATAGGTCCTTGAAGAAGGGCTTCATGCTCGGAAGGAAGGACAGACAGTGCAGGAGAGGGAGACCCCGGGTGACATGAATTGATGCAGTAACTGGGGCAGTGGAGGTTAGTATGTTAGAATTAGTGAGACTGGCTCAGGACAGGGCAGGGTTCAGAGCTGCTGTACATAGGGTCTCTATGCATCGCAGGCGACTCAGCAGAACATAACAACAATAACATACTATGACAGGTTTGGAAGCAGGAGGGGCATCCACTTCCTAAACACTGTGCCTCTTGAAATTATGAACTTTAATAAATGTCAATAGTTGCAGAGGGGCTTCAGACCTTTTGTTCATGTGAGTCATGCTTGATTTGAAGGCAATCAACGACAGCATTGTTTTTTGTTTATTTGTTTTTTCAACGACAGCATTGTTAATGATGGGATTCCCACACAGCAGTGGAAGCTGTTGCTATGCTCAGTTGCTACGGAGGAGGTGAGCAGGTGGGACCCCCACCACCAGTTGCTCCAGGGTATTTGAATGAGGCAATAGGCTTCCATAGGGTCCCTGTGAGTCACACTTTGCCTACGGGGCAGTGGGTTTATTATTGATTATAAAGTCCCTACGTGGTGGCAGCTCTTCATGTGTGTAGCTACTGACCTTGAAAAGGTTAGTGGTTTCAGTTCACTTG